AAAAGCAATCCGTAACTTATGACCTTTTCACTTATTTATAAATATTGTATAATTGCAATAAAATTATAATCGTCGAAAAAAAAGAAATAAGAAAAGAATTGAAATTGAAATTGAAAGAGTCTCTATTCTGCCGAGATTCAACAAACCGAACGAGATCCGAATATAAATCCCTTGCATCTGTTAGGATCAGAATATATTCGGATGCTCTGGCTCTTTCTACTGCTCCATCGTTAAATTTATTTTTGGTTGGGACCATCAGAATACCAATTGTATCTTCATGGTATTTGGTTAGTACTCCTTCCAATTCCCGCACAACTGAGGGACCTATAATTAGCTAATGTCAGTTAGTTGATAATCATTTTCAATTATACAAAATGATACTCACTCTAAATAAAAACTTACCAATTCCTCTTCTTTGATTCTTGCACTGGATAACAAATGGGATTCTTAGGAAATTCCCAATTATATCCACGCCTCCGTCACCTGGTGCGGGTCTAAGAAATTAAAACAAAAAATGAGCATTTGTATCATCATCATCAAGAACCTAAGAAGAACGTTTGCTTGTAACTGCAGCCACGATGCGCTTTCGATTCAATGGTTCATGTATCCTATTCACCGCTTCAGCCCGGAAATCACATCTATCAGACAGCCTTTCAGAAACAGAGAAGAACGTTCACAGTAGGCCGTCCACCATATATCAGGTCTGAACACCTGACTGGTAACTTTCGCAAACTGTGGCCACGAAGAGCTTTCATTCTCCGATTTTTACACCTAGCGGCAGCGTAACTTCAGATACATAACAACTCAACAAATGACTCAGTGAGATACTCACTTTGTTTGATAGCATTCGATTCCTGCGCGACGGAGAATTCTCAAGGTCTCTTGCTCAAAAGCGTTTCCTTTGGCAACTGAACTGCTCATGATTAATTTTATTTCTTTGAGTATTTACATTTTGTGCGCCTAAAAACTTTCTACTTAAAAAATGTGTATAAAGCGTGTGTTATAACCTTAAAAGGAAATAACCACGTTATAAATACAATATTTGGTCAATGAAGGTGTTCTTTATTGCTGTCCTTTTTAAACGGATTTCCATCTCTTCTGATATTTCGAAAAATCGAAAAATAGATGCTATCGGATTATCAATCGTTTGGTAATTAAAATTTTAATCATGTGATTATCACCGGTGAGATGAATAGCATATACCCTAGAAAAGGGTGTGCTTAGTTTACCGTATTAGACTTTATCGTTGTCTATAGATGTTATTTTGGAAGAAATTGTACTTTGTACCTGAGATGGATAAGAATTTATCATTTGCTGTTTACGTTCCCTATTTTCAATATATTCTTTGGCTCGAGAAACAGATATACGATATTTTTTTGCCATTATATTTATAGCATCAGGTACCCTACCGAATGATGTTTAATCGCCTCATCTGATAAATATCTTGCATTTGCACTATAGTATGTTTTATTAATATGACCCATATTAGAGTTGTGACTTGACTTTAGCTTCGCTATAAAAAATTTTAAAAAATTTATCCATATTTACAGTATATAAATATTTCCATACATTTCGAAATGTTTACAAATATTTCAGATTATTTTAAAATGTGTGAACATCTGTACTAATTATTTTTAGTATCGACAAATTTCTATACATTATAAATTCATGTATGTAATATGATACTTTGCCAGAGATAGTATAGCTAAACTCAAATTTACAATTATTATTTTTTGTTACATACAGTGTGGAACACTTGCTTTTGGAAAATTTAATTAATTATAATTTGATTAAAAATTTTATTAATATAAAAAATTTTTTTAAAATATATTTTTTAGAATCTAATAAAATTATTATTTAATGATTTATTAATAAGTTTATTTTAAAGTTTTATTTTAAAGTTTAAAAAAACTATTTTAAAAAACATATTATAAATTTATAAATAATTATATATATATTTTATATATATTTTATGGATGAAAAATATATTTTTTATTATAGTTTTAATATAATATTTTTAAAATTTTATTTTTTATTATAGTTTTAATATAATATTTTTAAGATTTTATTTTTTATTTATTTTTTTTTTTAATCTGCAGTCAGATTAACATGATATATCTTTATTATATACTGTATATACTAGATATTTACAAATTGTTATAACATTTATATACAGTATTAACTTATTCATTATCAAAAAACTATTTCTTTAAATACAATCTAAGAAATGATATTTTATTTCTTTATTAATTTGAATAACTTCTCTAATTAATAAAATAATTATCTATAGATCATTACTGTAAATTATTCTAAGTTCTATCTATAATTAAAAACTAAACCATTTGATTCCATGACAAATCTAATCCTTAATAATCACTATATACTTCTTCTTTTCTTTTTCTTTAATATCTTTCAGGTAAGGATCACAATGGATCGAATCAGATCAATTTTTATTTGATCTGATTCGTATCTGAATAGATTTATTTTTATTTGATCTATATCTGTTCAATTAATCTGATATTTTTTTTAATCATGTTTTTTTTTTTTATTCATTTTTCTTTACCTAATGTTTACTTAACATCTTTAAGTTTTATTTATAAACATTTAGTTAATAGTTTATATTTTTAATATTTATAATTTATTGACATTTATAACTATTTTTTTCTAAATTAAAATATAAACCTGTATAATTTAAATTTTCTGCAATACTACTACTACCTTGGTTTTTTTTTTTGATTCTTTTAGTACTAATAAAGCAGGAAGATCTTGTTGCAATTGCTCTTG